ATACATGGATGGCGATATACTAAAGAAATTGTTCATGACTTTTGTTAGGCCAAAGCTAGAATATGCAGCAGTTGTGTGGTGCCCATATCTCAAGAAGCACATCAACAAACTAGAAAAGGTGCAAAGACATGCTACTAAGTGGCTCCCAGAACTGAAGGGCAAGAGCTACAAGGAGAGGTTAGAGGCATTTAATATGGCAAAACTAGAAGACAGAAGAAAAAGAGGTGATATGATCACTACATACAAAATAGTAACAGAAATTGATAAAATCGATAGGGAAGATTTCCTGAGATCTGGAACTTCAAGAACAAGAGGTCATAGATTTAAACTAGCTAAACACAGATGCTGAAGAAATATAAGAAAATTCACTTTCGCAAACTGTGTGACAGACGGTTGGAACAAGTTAGATGAGAAGGTGGTGGAGGCCAAGACCGTTAGTAGTTTCAAAGCGTTATATGACAGAGTGCTGGGAAGACGGGAGCGTAGCATAGCTCTCATCCTGTAACTACACTTAGGTAATTACACACCCCCACCCACCCCAGGATGCAGCCCGTAGCAGCTGTCTAACTCCCAAATACCTATTTACTGCTAGGTAACTGGAGCATCAGGGTTAAGGAAACTCTGCCCATCTGTCTCCGCTGGGTGCGGGGATCGAACCCCGGACCCTAGGTCCACGAGTCTAGAGTGCTGTCCACTCAGCCCCAATGGTTTGGGGCTGGGTGGAAACCATAACACATAACCTTGTGTTATGGTTTCTGGTCTTTATTAATGACTAAGAGGGGTAGAACAATGATTTTAGCCCATACTACACATCATCCATCCACCTCCCTACTTACAAACCTTGTATGCAATACAAACCCCCACCCCATACACATGCATTTGTGGGGTGGGTGTGTTGCAATTATACGTGCAGCTGTAACATGCACCCCACACACATACACAAACCACACATTCCATATACACAAACCACATGTAGTTTTGTATAAAGAGATGTATGGCTTGTATGGGGGAGTAGTGTGTGGCATTTGTAGCATGTCGTGAAGTAGTGTATAGCATTTGTAGTGTGTGTGTGTGTTGGATGGTGTATAGCATGTGTAACTACCTAAGTGTACTGTAGTTACAGGATGAGAGCTACGCTTGTGCTGTCCCATCTTCCCGGTACTCTGTCATATAACGCTTTGAAACACTGACGGTTTTGACCTCCACCACCTTCTCACTTAGCTTGTTCCAATTGTCTACCACTCGGTTTGCAAAAGAAAAGATTTTAATATTTTTTCGGCACCTTTGTTTCCTTAGCTTGAATCTGTGTCCTCTTGTTTGTGAAGTTGCTGGTTTCAGGACTTCCTCTTTGTCAATTTGGTCGATTCCTGTTAGTATTTTGTAAGTGGTGATTATATCACATCTTTTTCTTCTATCTTCTAGTTTTGGGATGTTTAATGCCTCTAGTCTCCCTCGTAACACTGTTTTTCAGTCCCAGAAGCCATTTTGTAGCATGCCGTTGCACCTTTTCCAGTTTATTTGTGTGCTTCTTGAGATTTGGGCACCATACAACTGCTGCATATTACAATTTTGGTCTCACAAAAGTCAAGAACAGTTTCTTTAGTATTTCGCAGTCCATATAATTAAAAGCAAGTCTGAAATTGGAAAGCGAAACATATGTTCCTTTAATAATAATACTTATTTAGGAAAAGTACATACATAGATGCAGAGTTACAAACAATTTTATTGATTTATAGAGCTAGTACATACAATACCTAAAGCCACTAGTACGCATAGCGTTTCGGGCAAGGTGAGGTAGGGAAAAACACTTAAACCAAAACTTAATAATAATTGAGCTTAAAGTATAAATTGTGTTGAGAGAAAAGACTAAAACTTAATAATAATTGAGCTTAAAGTATAAATTGCATTGAAATAAAAAAAAAATAAAAAAGGGGGGAACATGGTAGAAAATAGCCAATATACAAGTTGGTCAACAAACAGCATCGTTTAAAAATAGTAAGACATGGGTTGACATTTAGGGGTAAGGTAGGTTACATGGAGTTAATTAGATAGTACTTAGTTTTCATCTTAAACTGGTTGAGAAAGGTACAGCCTTTGACATGATTGGGAAGGTCATTCCACATTCTGGGTCCCTTGATTTGTAGAGCATTTCTAGTTTGATTAAGTCGTACTCTTGGAATATCAAATAGGTATTTGTTTCTGGTGTGGTGCCCATGGGTTCTGTTACAACCTTCTAAGAAGCTTTTAAGGTCAGGATTGACATTACAATTCAGAGTTTTAAATATATAAAGTACACATGAGAGGATGTGCAGTGACTTAATATCTAACATATTCAGAGATTTAAGTAAGGGTACCGAGTGCTGTCTGGGACCAGAGTTAGATATTATTCTAATAGCAGCTTTGTGTTGGGTAATTAGAGGACGTAAATGATTTTGGGTAGTAGAACCCCAAGCACAAATACCATAGTTGAGATAAGGATAGATGAGAGAGTAATAGAGCGTCACCAGGGCAGGGCGGGGTACATAATATCTGATCTTAGAAAGAATGCCAACAGTTTTAGAATTTTTTTTTTGCTATATTTTGAATGTGTCCCTGGAAATTCAGCTTGTTATCGATGAGGACACCAAGGAATTTACCATAAACTTTACTACTGATTTATATATTGTTTATTCTTAGATTAATTTCATTTGAGGATTTATTACCAAACAAAATATAAAAAGTTTTGTCAATGTTAAGGGTGAGTTTGTTAGCAGTTAGCCAAAGATGGACTTTATTTAGTTCAGTATTCACAGTGACATTTAGAGCAAGAGGGTCAGGACTGGAGAAAATGAAAGTTGTGTCATCCACAAATAAGATTGGTTTGAGGTGTTGAGAGGCATTTGGAAGATCATTAATGTAGATGAGAAAGAGGCGAGGGCCAAGTGTGCTGCCCTGTGGCTGCATTCACAATGTTCTTTGTGTTACTCTGGCGACAGTTTACTATCCAAACCATCCCTAAGTCTCGTTCTTTATTAGAATACTGTAATTCCGATCCACATAATTTGTAAGTTGTTCTTGGTCTATTTTCTCCACTTCCATATTCTATAACATGGCATTTATTCAAATTGAATTCCATTTGCCACTTGATGTTGCAAGCACTTATTTTAACTGGATCAACTTGAAGGGCATTACAATTGTCTGCATCTCCTGTCTTCCACAGTATCTTAGCAACATCCGCAGACATGGTCATATAAATCTGTATTCCTTCTGGTAGATTGTTTATGTAGACAATGAACATTATTGCCGCAAGAACTGAACCCTGTGGTACTCCACTAGTAATGCTCCACCGGTTAGAAACATTATTTCTAATTACTGCCCTCATCTGTCAGAAAATTTTCCATCCATGTCAGAAGTCATTCTGTCACCCCTCTAGCATGTTGCAGTTTCCAGAACAGCCTCTTGTGTGGGATTGTCAAAAGCCTCTTTTAGGTCCAGATAGACACAGTCAACCCAACCACCTCTTTCCTGTAGTGCATCTGTAGCTCTGTCATAAAAACTTAATATGTAGATTTGTTACACAGGATTTTCCTGTTGAAAACTATACTGTCTCCATTATTATGTCATTACTCACTAAGTGTTCAACCCATTTGGCTTTAACTATTATTTCTAGTGTTTTGACTACCATGCTTGTTAGTAAGAAAATCCATAGGAGCAGTGATGAGGGTTCGAACCTATGCAGTGAGTGTTCTCATGCACATACTCTAATGACTAGACAACGACACTGTATAAGGAAAGACCAACTAGACCATCTAGTGACATGTCTAATCGCTAGACAGTGTGTGTGGGAACTCTCTTTGGTTACTTTGTGAATACTTGTTAGTGATACGGGTCTATAATTTAAAGGTTCCTCTCAACTACCATTTTTATAGATTGGTACTATGTTTGCCTTTTTCCATGTATGTGTCTGCAAAGATTCCTTTGCATAAGGATGTCTGGAATATTAATTGGAGTGGAATGCTCAGCCCAGTTGCACATTTTTGCAGCACCCAAGGTGAAACTCCATCAGGTCCAAATATTTTGACCCATTTTCTTGTCTTTTTCTTTCTCTAATTCTCTAGTACAGTACAATGAAAGAAAGTAATTTGATTATGGGAGTTAAGAAAGAACAGTGGTAGTACACTGTGCCAAGCCCTGACATATGTTAATGAAATTTGGGTATAGAAAGGGTCAGAGTGCTATCTAGTAGAAGAGCTTTTAATGAATTTTCCAACTTCACAGAGAATACAACTGTTATATAGACCAACACTACGGCAACGCACCAGTGGGAATGGTAGTTTCCTTTCTGTCACAGAAGAGTCAGACCTAGATGGCTTAGCAGGTCTTAGAGATGGACAAGATGAAACAGGAACAGTACCTGCTCCTCGGCCATACAGTGACCCACCTCCAAAGTACACACCGCCTCCCTCATACTCCACGGCTACTGGAGTCAGGTTAGCTCTAGTAATAATAATAATAATAATAATAATAATAATAATAAAAATAAGAAAAATAAATAAAATACGTAAAAGATTGTAAAGGTAAACTGGTGCATATAAGATTGTACCAAAATGTAGCTTCATAATTATGGTTTCATTACAGATTTGCAAAACTCCTGAATCAAAGTTTCCGTCAGAGTATGAGACGCCTTCGTTACACATTGCGTAATGGCTCAGAAGATAGTACACACAGGGATGCAGATGGGACTCCACAAGAAGTTGAGTGTGGGCAGCCCAGCACAACAGCTAGGGAAGCCACCCCATACATCCCTCCACCAGATTATGTAACTGTTATCACAGAATGTAGCAGAGAAAGAAGTCACAGCTCTACATCTAATGAAGCACCTCCTCGGTACTCTACTTTAGATCCGTTAAGAAGACAAGAAGCACTGGCAGCTTTGGCTAATGCTGCGTCTTCTAGTATGTGTATTAAAACTGATGATGAGACTGAACTACCTTTACCCACAGCTCCATCATTACACAGAAACAATAGCTTACGTAGATCAGGGCTCAGACGCAGCATAGCCTCAGGTGTGAGGCGAAGTGCTCGACGTCTTGCAGCAACACTTGGTGTTGGGAGTGGTGAAGATGGGGCTACATTAGTAGGTAGTGAAGCCTCAGTTAATGAAGATAATCAGTCAGTAAGAGAAGTTGAACCTTCACATCCATATGCATATACTAATTTTGAGCTGGTCTCCCACTCGCATGCGTGAGGTTGCTTAGGTCTGATGTTCCAGTGAAAGAGTAGGCATTAATATTTATAGTTAAAAATTTATCTACGTTAATGTTGATTGTTTTGTTGATAGATTTAAAAAAAAAATATTCTATCACTTCTTATTTTAGCATAACCAGAAATATATTATTAGTGCAATAAAGTCAAATTAATTATTATAATTACTACCAGCATGAAAGCAACTCCTTTTTAATGTTAAAAGGATTTAATATTTACACAACAATTGTAAATAAGACTAATACATTCTACAGACACCAGAAAATCAATAATGTACAATTCTCCACTTTAATTAATGTTTACCGAGTTTAAGTACTGTGCTCAAATTTGTATATAGTTTTTATTTCACTGAAGGAAAACATAGCATTTCATTATGTACCAAAATAACATAACTGGTGGCTTACAAAAAGATCATAGGTTTTTTAAGAAAGTAATTTTTCTATAAATTATGCTTAATATTAACTTTGTGTTTGTTTCCCATTTACATATAAAATATCAGTATTCTGCATATTCAAAATTTGTTACTGAACTTCATACTCACATTTTTCATTGTAATACATGGCATATATGCCTGAATATATTATTTTCTGTAGTGATTACAGTTGTAAAGCTTTTTAAACATTTCAGACCAAGACCAGTTTGTATGAGGATTATTCAACAAATGCTTTAATAATAATGTATAATTTCAGCATTATTACTAATATTCAGATACAGAATCTAGCCACTTTGATGTATAACTTGTACACTTCACGATCCAATCCTGTAGCTTTTGGTTTAAGTACTGTCAAGTTTTTCACTGAACAACATTAAGTTTTCATTCAAATAATTCTGAACACTTTTATATTACTTGTTTAATCTTTAATTATTTTTTTTTAAATCCTATTTTATGTAATGCATGTGGAACTTAAGATTGGTAAAATTGTAACCATTGGATACATTTGCTATAAAATGTGCCAAATGTGAATCCTTATTTGATGGCAAATTTGCAGTGATGCACAAAAGGTCACATTGAATAATTTACACTTTGAACATGATTTTATGTAAAGTTTACTGTACATATAAAATGGTCACAATAGATACCTGTCCTTTCTCAAGGTTTCACTTTCTGCTCAAAGTAGGATAAAAAATTAAATACCAGGAAGTTTAAATATCTCACTAATGCATGGTGCTCTCTAATGTGTGAGGTGCTCTTAGATCTACTTCATAATTTATCAAGGAAATGGCAGCTTAATGATACAAACAAATTTTCCATATCTGGTGCATAGTATAAACAATTTAAACTTACCTTTATTTACAGCTTTTCCTAGATTAAATGACCTAAGATAATGTTATACAGTCTACTAGACACCTAGTAGCTGCAAGGATACAACCTAAGAAAGGGTGTATTTATCCAATGCAAGCATTGTCAGTATGGCTATATAACACTGGCCTGTTTCATGGGCAGGGCTTGTCACTGCTGACTACCAGAGAAACCTGTATACTTTAGCAGCTATTCACACTGCAACTGCCGAAAGCAAAACAAATTGTATCAACTCATTCTTAAAATTTTTTTGTATTTATCAGGTAGGTATTTGCTCATAAGGAATGACATGTTTTTCCATTACAGTATTAAAAAAACTAATTTACAAATAGTTTAAAAAATACAAAATTACGGCTTTATTTTCAATATTTTTACAATATTTATAATAGAATTCCCAACGTAATCAGAACAATCGTGAATTTTGTTTAAACCAGGTAGTAAGCATTGAAAAGAATATGCAAAAGTAATCATGCTTTATTCATGTTGACAAGCATTTTTCATGGTTAATTTGATGAGAGAAAACAAATATATTAAATAAAAAACTAGCAGTTTTCAATACCTCTTATTTAAAATTAAACAGGAACTGCAACAGGAATCACAGAAGTCCAGGTAAAACAGAGATTATCTCATAAATCCAGCCCACTGCCTGTGATACACATTTGAAAAATTACATTCCTCTACAGATTGTGATTTCCTATAAAGAATATTTTAGATATAAAAATTAACAATTTAAAAAAAAATCCATAAAATAATTTCTTATTTGCCTCAACTAAGATTTCTGCACTGCAGTGTTTTTGTTTTTGTTCCTGTTAATGCTTCTTTGTGATTAAAATCACTGTAAATAGGATTCACTGGTTATGTATTGTCAAATGCCATTACATATATAATGAAATATATTCATCTGATAAGCTGTTTCCAGTCTTCCAACTTTTAAACTCTCGCGTTCAAAATATTAAAGGAAGATACACAAATTGCTGATAAAGTTGGCAGATGACTCCATGAAATATGCATGCAGGATGGCCATTCAAAAACTATGTGCATGCCAGAGATGTAAATACATTGGTATAAAGCAAGCAGATAAGAATTGTGTACACCGAGCCTTAACATGGTCTAATAAGGCCGACCTCAAATAGGTGTTATGTAATATAAATTTTCCATTTTAAGTGTCCCACGCCGTCCAGTAATTGTGTGTACTGTATTTATTTATTAATAAAACTGGTCAAGACAAACTGTAGTTTTCAGACCCACTCACACATTGCGCATTGTATTGTATCCTTACATACAACACTAGATTACTGGATAATAATTAGCAGAAGGCATAGGCCAAAATCCAACAGTAAATTGAAAACTTATTTTTGTGACATGGAACCAAGCATAATAAAACCAATAAATTATTTATTATTTTCATCTATATGCATAAGAAAACCAGTGAACACATTACAAATTTAATAAATTGTATTTACAGTATAATAAAGTTCAGTAATTACATTCAATGCAAAAAAAAAAAAAGTCTGAAATGAAGTTTATAGTAATGAATGTTCCCTTATAAATAACCTCAATTTATATATGTATATAGTGCATATATATATATATATATATGTCGTACCTAATAGCCAGAACGCACTTCTCAGCCTAATATGCAAGGCCCGTTTTGCCTAATAAGCCAAGTTTTCCTGAATTAATATTATTTCTCTAATTTTTTTCTTATGAAATGATAAAGCTACCCATTTCATTATGTTTGAGGTCAATTTTTTTTATTGGAGTTAAAATTAACGTAGATATATGACCGAACCTAACCAACCCTACCTAACCTAACCAATCTCTATAGGTTAGGTTAGGTTAGGTAGCCGAAAAAGTTAGGTTAGGTTAGGTTAGGTAGCCGAAAAACAATTAATTCATGAAAACTTGGCTTATTAGGCAAATCGGGCCTTGCATAGTAGGCTGAGAAGTGCATTCTGGCTACTAGGTACGACATATATATATATATATATATATATATATATAATTACACACACACATTTATATAAAAGCATTTCATCAGTTCTAAAACCCTGTGGATTCCAGCTTACTCCTCTCCTTCTTGGTTATTCCTGTTCTTCGGTATTCAGTTCTTTCTTCTAGATATAATTTTTTGCAGTGCTCCTGGGGAAGTAAAAAGGATGAGATGGGAGGAAACACGCTACACAATGGACTTTGTAATACAACAAATACATTTAAATTAGTATACTGTACAAAGTTGGCCTTCACCACTTCCTCTTCTAAATAAACTCTTAACCACTTAACTGCGCCAGCCGAGTATTCTCGGTCGGCGGGAAACTGCGCCGAGAAAACTCTGATTTTTCTGTACCCATTCTAAATATGTGCGAGGATGGTTGTGTACGAAATGGACTCTTAAGACCTCCAGTGAGAGGCGCCATCTTGGAAAAAAATCCCAGAATGCCCTAGGGCTGCTGGCTGGGTTAGTACTGAATGAGCAACCATGGGTGGCGCACGCGTCTCTGGCTCCCAAACACCTGTCCGATGCGGTGTTGAAAGATAACGCTCTGTCGATGAAATTCAAACATTGTTTGAAGAACATAAGGGTCGTAATATTGGTGAAGCTAGGCGCAATAAGGACCTAACACAAAGGTCAGATGCAAGTGATACAGCACCTATGAGGACGATACGTATCCAGTTGTAGCTCTGAGCATCACCCTTGCAATCCTACGCTATCTCCAATTTATTTAGACGATACACAGATGAATCGTTTTCTGCGTTCAGTGATAATGCATCTGATACAAGTAGCATAGATGAACAGTGTTAGTGGCTTCCATGGTGGTGTTGTCCATAGATATTTTCAAGAATACCTGAATCTCTTCCTGACTGACGGACACTCTTTGAGGCAAGCTGAATCTCTTCCTGTGTGGGATCATACAAAGTGATCTCTTCAAGACTACCTTACAAATTGATCTTTTCCTATAATCTTTTCAATACTACCTTATGCTTTACAAGCTTGGCTACATACAACCTACAAGTACTAAGGGTGTACATGTACAAGGGTGTACATGAGTGCGTTACTTGCAAGCACACAGAATGAAGAAACAGGAAGCAAAAATTTATCTGTACCTGGTGCAACAAGAGCGAAGTCGCGCTGTGCACCACGGACTACTTCGTTGATTATTACTCACTTCCAAAGTACTGTGTAATATAGTGTGTTACTGTGTAAATAGTGTGTGAAACTGTACATATTGTAATTTTAGTGAATTTTTAACAAGTAATGTTGCAACAAACATTTATTGTGGACACATTACTGACACATGTATCACAGTTCCATGAAACATTACGAACGTTCTACTGTTGCTAGCTAGCCACTTGCTAGCCAAGCTAGCAAGTGGCCTGTGCATTATTTTTTTGACATTTCATATGAGGTTTAAATTTAGTTCTGCAGCTTATATAATAAATTTTATTTTTTAAATAGTTGCAATTATTTTTATAATTATTTTATAATTATTGGCTTTGATGATAATGAAAAATTAATATTCAAACATTAGCAAAAACATTTATAGAATGACGTACTGTAGATCTAAACACTGGTATCATATTCTTTGTATTTCAGCAGCTTTAAATAAAACAATCAAAACAAATTGCAAGTTTACAAATGCACAAGAAAATATTTCAAGAGAGTAGACTAACCTTAAATTCCTCATCATGGTACCACTTGGTGAGACAATCCCAAAGGGCAGTGTTCTGTGGTCGACACTTAAGCACCATCAAGTAGCTCGAGTCCTTGCAGCACTTTGTAAATTCTGTTGGTAATAATAAATTTAAATATAGCAGACTATCTTTGTTGGAATGAATAATTTTACTGAATACTTGTAATAATCAATGTAAGGTAACCAAACCACTTAACATCTTTGCAATAAATATTAAAAGGTGTAGAGATATTTTTATTAAAACCAATCGGCATTATTTGGATAACCTGAATCTTCAACTAATCCAAATGAATTCATGTTTGAGTTTTGGACATTTTTTAATCTTTTAGCCCAAAAGAGAATTTGTGTTAATGGGAGGTAGGGAATGTATGTATGGAAGACAAATCAAGTTACTGCAAATTCTGTTTGGTGAGAAACCTGAAATTATTGGAGTTCAAGTACTGTACTTCACTGTTCAAGTCTAATAGAAT